CCAACAAATTCCACTTTGGATTACAAACTAACTTTCCTTCAAAGTATAGAATAAAAAGAACTTTACCCCATAAAGTTTTCTGGAACCCACTTGGCAGGTCACATTTGAACTGTGAAAGCCCCATTACAGCTCTTCAACTGGCTTCTGTGAAGCTGTGACAACTTCCTGTAAGGCTGGGCGAGGCCTCCAGGGCTGGAGGAGACCTCCAAGACCACCTGATTAACTGCAGAATGGCGCTGCATCTTAGGAGATTAGGGTCCAAGTTACCATGTAAGGTGGGAATGGCGCAGAGTCGAAATCAACCTACAACTTCCTGCTGGAGACCAACAGGCGAAACCACCTCAGCAAGCCCAGAGCCAGTTTTCTCCCCCACTGTTCAAGTAAGTAGCGCCTCCCCTTGTCGCTGAGCACTCCAGGCTGCTGAGTTGTGTTTGGAAGTCATGTTCACTTTCAGACAAGAGACCCATACCCTTATCCAGTCATATTTTCACACTAGCAGAATCACAAGGAAAGATTTGAGATAACACCTCTCTCTTGCTTCCTCCAGGGCACAAATATGAGTGTGATAACCAAAGGTCCAGGTTAGTCCTGGGGAGTTCCAGTTTACACCTGCCAGCATGGCACAACTTTTACGAGCCCCTGTTCACTCTCAAAAGTGGTCTGGACCAGCCCACTAGCAAGGAACTTACCCGCACACCCTGTGTGATCAACGCTCACACAGACCTGGGCTGGGCTGTGACTCATGCTGCCCAAGGAAATGTGTCAGAGGTGGTGATGTGCCAGATCGGGGCCTGCACTTTAAAAGGACTAGCAATTTCTGCTCCCTCCGTCTCGGAAGGCTTGCTTTGGGGAGCCCTGAGACACCGTGTAAAAACTCTCACTACCCACTGGAGACTGTTCCCACTGAAAAAACAGGCCCTGAGACTACATGGAGGAGAAAACAGGCCCAGCTGTCGCAGCATCTCAGTGCGGCCCCCGGACAGCAGCCACAGGACACTCCGAGTCAGCCCGGCAGAACGGCTATCGAGCTGAACAAGAAATATGAAATAACAGTTATTTAAGCCACGAAATCTGAGAGGTTTGTTACACTTTCCTCTGTGAGACAAGGGAACGCCTGTAATTCTTCATGGAAGACTCCAAAGGTCGGTGGAGCTGACCGGTAAGGAGCCAAACAGGGCAAGACCCTTTGCGGCGGTCATCCGCGCTACCCTCCTGGACCAGGCGGGGCTCGGGCCCGGGGACCTGCAGGAGTTCTCACCCCAGGACGGCCTGTGAAGGCTGAAGCTGAGCAACGCTTGTGGTTTAGTTGTTTTTGCACTGATCTTAGACGGGATTCCTAAGTTTGAGCGCTTGCTCTGTACCAAGTACATGCTAAGCAGACGCTTTAAATATTTAATACCACTAAGGGGTTAAACAGCCTGCCCAAGAGCCCTACATTCCTACAGGGCGCAAAACAAGATGGCATCTCTCTATCTAGGAGGTGGCATGTAATGTAAAAACAGTGGAGAATATAAGATCTAGATCAAGTTCCCCAAGCTGGGTTCTGCCACTTACCAACTGAGGCCTCAGGCAAGTTGTCTAAGCTCTCTAAATCTCAGTTTCATTGTCCATTACAAGGGGATGATACCACCCCTGTTGTAGGATTGTTATGAGGATTAGAGAAGATCTTTGTAAAGCTCTAGGCAGGGAACTGGTTCCTGAACAAATGCAGGGAGCTAAAGGGAAGGAGGTGAGAAGGCTGGCAAGATGCCTTCAGGGTTACATCAGCTCACCCATACAGAGCAGGCACAGCTATTAAAGGCATGTAAAAGGCATCTTAAGCCAATAAAGGTACTCACTGCTAAGAAATGCAGGCTAGACACCTATATTTTTTTAAATGTCCTGGGGAGAGTTTCTGTCCATTTATAAAGAATCAGAAAGTTGTGACTGAGACAAACTGTCACCAGCACTCAGTCTAGAAGCCGGGGTATAAAAACAATGAGATTAAAAAGTCCTCACCTCACAGAGCTTACCTCCCAGTTGGAGGAGTCAGACAATAAACAAGATAAATAAGGAAGTATGTTGGATGATGATAAGAGTAAATGAGAAGAAAATAAAGCAAGGAAGGGGAACAGGAAACACCAGAGATGCAGCTGAAATTGTTAGATTGACCAGAAAAATCCTCGCTGAAAATGTGACATTTCAACACAGAGGGGAAGAAATTAAGGCCCTGAGCCACAGCGTAAGGGGAGTGGCAGGGGAGCCCAGAAAACACACCACAGCTAGGAAACAGCGCGTTACAGAGACCCTCAGACAGCAGCACAGGTCACAAGGGTCAAGAAACAGCAAGCACCCCGGTGACTGGAGCAGAGCGAAAAGGAGCACAGCCAGAACGGAGGCCAGGGCGACAGAGACCAGATCTGGTAGGGACTAGACCGGCATGTTGTTCACGATGTCACGGGAAGAAAGGGTTCTGTAACGGTTCGTTTTACGTGTGAACCTGGCCAGGCCCCAAAGCACCCAGACGTTGCTCAAATACTACTGACGGTCTGTGAGGATGTTTTTGGATGAGATCAACATTTGAACTGGTAGACTGGGTAAAGCGGGTGGCCCTCATCCAATCGGCTGAAGGGAGAAAACCCTGGGGCTGAGCAGCGCGTCTCGTTCTTCTCAGGCCTTTGGACTTGGACTAGGACTCATACCCCCACCTCTCCTGCACCTCCAGCACAGCAACCGCAGACCTTGGAATGTCTCACCCGCTAGTTACATAAGCCCATTCTCCTTATAATATGTATACATGTGTGTATATGTGGTGTATGTTAGGTATGTATCCCATTGGTTCTGTTTTTCTGGGGAACCCTGACTCATCAGGTTGCAAAGAGGGGCGATCTACTGGGTCTCACGGGGTAAATAGGTCAAATAAGGTAAGGACTGCAAGCTGACCACTGCACTGAGCAATATGGAGATCTCTAGTGATGTTATACAAAATTATGGAGGAGCTGTTGAGAATACAACAGAAGAAAAATTCGGTGACGCAAAGAAAGGATGAATGGGTGACAGACAGAGTCCTTGAGCAGACAGGCAGCAGCAGTGTCTCACCCACGTGCAGAGACACTGGCCTCGACTGGGAGCGGGCACAGGTGAGGCGGAGCGCTATGCCCAGATGCGGGGAGGTGGCCGCGTGGCAGCGGGAGCCTGTGGAAGCTTTCTTCCGGCTGCTTCCCTTTTTCCCAGTGAACTAAAGGAAGGAGGTAGAAAGAAGCACGGAAGGCTCAGGTGAGATATTTAAGTGCTGATTAGGTGAGTAAACTGCAGCCGTGAAACAGGACATTATGGAGTGGGCCTGCCGAATGTTGGTGACTGTGACTTTACAGCGAGACCAGTTAGTACGGTTTCCCGAGGCACACTCAGCTGCACAGGTACAGGCAAAGGGCAAGCAAGAGGGCGGGCCCAACAAGCCGCAACCGGTGCCGTCCGCGCGCCTCCCCACACGCCCTCGCACTCGCCCACTGCTCTGCTGCGCCGCCAGGCGAGCCCGCGAGGGCCGGCAAAGGTTCACGTGCTTTGCATGACCATAAAGCCCCGGCCCATGACATGTGTCTCCTGGCCTAATACCACCAGCTGTCTCTGCCTCCCCCGGGGGTAAGGGCTCAGCTTTGGTGGCTGACACTGTGCCCACAGTGGCAAGAGCCACAGCAGCTCCAACGCCCAGACTCAGCTGCCTCTCCAGCTGCCTGGAGAGCTGGTGACAGACCCAACAGCACACACAAATGACGACCCCGTGGGGGGGCCCTGACTGTGGCAAGACAGGAGATGGGAAGGAGCCAGCAAATCACCTTCTCAGCTGTCCTCCCTGTACACCTGCCCCCGGGAGTGTCCCAAAATTCTTACACATGACAGTAGGAATGTAAAATATGGACAAGTTTTCAGATTCTTTTCAAAAAGGTTTTACTTATTTATTTTAGAGAGGGAGGAAAAGAGGGAGGAGGAACATCCATGTGTGGTTGCCTCTTGTGCACCCACCCACGGGGGACCTGGCCTCCAACCCAGACACATGCCCTGGACTGGGAATTGAACCAGCAACCCTTTGGTTCACAGGCCAGTGCTCAATCCACTGAGCCATACCAGCCAGGGCAGTTTTTAGCTTCTTAAAAAATTAAGCATACAACTACTATATGATTTCACTCCTGAATATTTCCCTAAGAGAAAATACATGTTCATGTGAAGATTGTACAGGGATATTCAGGGTAGCTTTATTTGCCATAGCCAGACAATGGAAATAACCCAAATGTCACCCTGGCTGGTGTGGTTCAGTGAGTTGAACCAAAGGGTCTGTGAACCAAATGGTCACTGGTTCAATTCCCCAATCAGGGCACAACACTGGGATGCAGACCAGGTCCCTGGCTGGGGGTGTACAAGAGGCAACTAATCAATGTTTCTCTCACATGGATGTTTCTCTCCCTCTCTTTATCCCTCCTTTCCCCCTCTCTAAAAAATAAATAAAATATTTTAAAAAAAACAGGAATAACCCAAATGTCCTCAAGAGGTAAATGAATAAAAAACTTCTGGTGTATTCATACAATGTAGTACCACTCAGCAACAAAAAGGAATCATCAATTGATACATGCAACCATGTAAATGAGTCTCAAAATAATTACACAAAATGAAAGAAGCCAGAAAAATAGTACATAATTTAAGATTCCATTTATATAAAACTCTAGACAATGCAAACTAATCGATAGTGAGAAGCAGCAGATCAGCAGTTGCTTGGGGAGGGGGGGCAGGTAGAAGGAATTACAAAAGGGCACAAGGAAGGTTTGGGGGTGATGGATATATTCAGTATCTTGTGAGGATAATTTCACAGGTGTATCCATGTCAAAGCTAATCAAACTGTAAACTTTAATTATGACAGTTTATCGAATGTCAATTATACCTCAACAAAGCTTTTTTTTTAATGCAACACATGGATCATGTTTGAATCCTGATCTAAACAGACCAACTTTTAAAAGTAGTTGACTGGACAATCGAAAGTTTTTTTTAGGGGGAGGTTTTTTAATAACCTTGGGCTATCTGGGAGAATAAAGAAGACCACACTCCACAGTGGGCTATATCCCTAAACATATAACTCACTACTGTTTTGTGGCCTATATTACACAGGTAAAAAAAAAAAAAAAAGTAAAATAAAAAAATAAAAGTAGTTGACTGGGGATTTAATTATACTAGGAAATAAGTATTAATTTTATTTAATTGTGATATTTGTGGTTAGGTTTTTTTGTTAATTTTGTTTTTTATATTTAAAGACTTTTTTTTTCTTTAGAGCAATTTGGGTTAACAGCAAAATCAAGGAAGGCAAAGAGATTTCCCATATATCCCCTGCCCCCTGTCCTCCTGTTCCCTGTCCCCTGTCCCCCATCCCCCGGACAGGAACAGCCTCCCACATTACCAACAACCATAACCAGGAGGAACATTTGTAGCACACGATGAACCTACATTGATACATTATAATCACAAAACACACAGCACACCACAGGATTCACTTTTGGTGCTCCACATTCTATAGGTTTTGACAAACACCTAATGACACATGTCCATCATTACGGGATGGTAGAGAGGAGTCTCACCGCCCTGCGATCCCTCTGTGCGCCACCAACCCATCCCTCCCCGACTCTGGCTCCAGGCAACCACGGACCTGTTCACTGTCCGCACAGGCTTGCCTTTTCCAGACATTCAGCACGTCGCTGCACTGTAAGTCATATTTTAGAGGTAATATACTTATAGATGGAGAGGGACATAGGTCAAGGTGGGCCTCACTGAGAAGGTAACATTTGAGCAAAGATTTGAAAGAAGTGAAGGAGGTAAAGTCAGAGAAGTAATGCAAGACCAGACTGAGCGGGTCTTTTAAGACCATTTATAAGGCCACTGTGAGGTATTTTGCTTTCAGACCTGAGTGAAATGCGGCCAGTAGTGAGGTTGTGCACAGCAGAGAAACGTACTGACTTATATCTTAATACACAAGCAGGACTTATCAGAAGCTGCTGCAGTGATCGGACTTATGGATGATGATTGCTCGTAGGGTAGTAGCAGTGGAGGCAATGAAGTAATTCCGTTTTCCAAGCCACTACAGTCTGTAGACAAGGACACAAAAATTATACAGGCAGTTCCCACCCTCGACAGGCAGAGGAGAAGACATAAAAGCTAATAATTACTTAAAAAGAGAGAAGTGCTACCCTGACCAGGCAGCTCAGCTGGCTGGAGCACCGTCCTGTGCACCGAAAGGCTGCAGGTTCGATCCCCAGTGGGGACGTGTGTGGGGTGGGCAGGAACCAATCTGTTTCTCAAATTGATCTCTCGCTCTCTTCCCCCCCCCCCGCCCCCTTCCTCTCCCTCTATAATCGATAAACATGTCCTGGGGTGAGGATTAAAAAAAAATAGGTAGGTCCTATAATAGCGGCAAGCAATAAGGCCCAACAGGAAAACCGATGAGGCGAACCCGACGCAGAGGAGAAATGAGAGGGTGCTGCCTGAGTCGTCAGGTGCAGGCATCTTGACCTCGGAACCCCTATTTCGGTGAATGGCTCCATCGACCACCAGCCACCTGAGCCAGGAATCCAGCAGGTGCGAGAGCTTTCTGTGCCCCGCCTCCGATCTGCCATTCAAGTCTGTCCATCTGACAACTTCAGAGCTTCCCGACCCGTCCTCCTCACCGCCGCCCAGGCCCCCAGCTCCCAGGGCAGAGCCCGGGCACCTGTCGCCCGGCGCCTGCCGTACCCAACCCGGCATCTCACGCCGAGGAAAAGAGTTCGGCATCCGAAAAGCAACACGTCTCACCCCTAAGACCTACACAAGTTTATGTGCCATGATGTTCCAATGCCACTTGAAAGCAAATTTATTAAACTTCAACCCCCAAAAGTGCTTTTTGACTGGCAAATATAGCAGAACTCTTACAATTATTGAATCTGGCTGTTGGACATACAGGGTTCATGAATATTCTGTTGTTTCCTATACGTTCAAATTTTCCACAAATGTACTAACGACGAGGAAAACTGCGCCCGCGTAGCGCCCTACAGCAGACACGGCTGCGGGCCCGGGCCACCGCGTCCTCCCGCGCGCAATCCCAAAGCTCAGCGCGAAAGCAGGCACCTGGCGTGCCCTGAGGGGAGCTACGTTCCTGAAAAGCTAAAAACTGAAAAACACTTAATCAAATCTCATCCTGCTTTTCCGGAGTGTAACCCCAATCTCGTCCATATTCTTAAACAGCTTTTTTCCCTTCACAATTAAACGACCAACGCTGCGTCTCGCAGGGACGAAGGAGGCCGGCTTTGAGAATGCCGTCCTCACCAGCCTTCTCTCACCTGCAGTCCAGTCTGGAGAATCTGTACTTCAAACCACTGCGATCAACGCTTTCGCTTTCCTATTGCGATCTGCTTGTCGTAAGGCAGAAAGTGTCATTTTTAAACTTTTGACAGCAATAAAACTCTTCCTTAAAAAATTATCCAGAAACTTAATATGCAAAAACTAAGTGGAAGCTCAGCCACTCTAGGCCATACTCTGCCTCAGCCGGGCGAGGGGCCGGTGCCCCCACGGCCCGGCCGCTCGGCTCTGCCAGCCCCCCTGCGCAAACGCGCCAGGCCATGGAAGCCGACCTGCCGCCGAGCAGGCAGGACGCCCGGCCAGGCTCAAACCCAGAGTTCACGAGCTGACACACAGGACCCTGGTTCGGTTCAGAGAACCAATGTACGGCGTGTGAAGAGCACCAGATGCTTAAAAATCAAAAGGGCATCGAGCTGAAAGGGACTTGAAAGCAACAGAAATTTCTGTAAGGAGTGCTTCAAAAGGAACACACACACACACGCATTTTACTACATCCCAGCAAGATGGAGGTCCAGGACAGGCCAAGAATGAGATATTTCTAAATGAGACTCCTCAGAAGTAAGTTAATCAAATAATAATTTTTAATAATTTATGTCTTAAAGAATAGTTAACTTTTTAAAAACCTACCCTCCTTTAGAAAATTCTGGGACAGAATTAGCAAATTTCAACAAGCAGAGTAAATCAGACAGTACTTTATCACAAATATTGAAATAACCGGTGGCTATATAAAAAATTTATATTCTAGTTTCAAAAAGCATTACTATTCTACTTATAGAAAGTTTCCATGAATATAAAAACCCAATTTTTAAAAAATTTTAATTATTTACTTTCAGAGAGAGGGGAAGGGAGAGAGAAAGGGAGAAAAACATCGACCGCCTCTCCTACGCGTCCTGACCGCAGCCTGAGCCCGCAACCCAGGCCTGTGCCCTGACAGGGAATCAAACCGGCGACCTGTCAGTTCACAGGATGACACTCAACCCAGTTTATGAGGGCTGACATAAATTACTTCTAAACACTCAACCGTCTAGAACAAAGCTCGAGCATATTTATAGAGATACAGAAATATCCAGCATACATCAAAGTAAAATTCATAAATGTCTGGCATCTAAACAAAAATTACCAGACAAGCAAAGAAGCAGGAAAATACAACCCATAATGAGAAAAATCAATCAATTGAAACCAACTCAGAAATGACTCAGGTAACAGAATTAGTGGACAAGGACATTAAAACAATTATAACAGGATTTCAGTGTGTTCAAGAAGTTAGAGGAAAAACTGAGCATGCTACCCAGAGTCATGAAATGAATTTTAAAAAAAGACTCAAATCAAACTTCTAGATAGGAAACCTATGTCTGAGATTTTAAAATACACTGCATAGGATTATGGCAGATTAGATAGTGCAAAAGAAAAGATGAGTAGCCCTGACTGGTGTGGCTCAGTGGGTTGCGTGCCGGCCTATGAACCAAGGAATCGCTGGTTCGATTCCCAGTCAGGGCACAGGCCTGGGTTGCAGGCCAGGTCCCCAGTGGGGGCACACAAGAGGCAACTACAGGTGGATGTTTTTTTCCCTCTCTTTCTCCCTCCCTGCCCCTCTCTCTACCAATAAATAAATAAAATCTTTTTTTATTAAGTTAAATAATTTTTAAAAATGTGAGTGAACTTAAAGCTATAGCAATAGAAACTATACAAAATGAAACAAAAAAAGGAAGAACAAACATCAGTTAATTAATGGGACTTCAAATAGCCTAATACAGGGTGGGACAAAAGTAGGTTTACGGTTGTTCGTATGGAAAATAATACAATAATAAATCATAATACAAGAATAAACTCTTTCATGCACTCACAACTGTAAACCTACTTTTGCTCCACCCTGTGTATGTGTAATTATATACTTCGAATATGTACAGTTTATTTTATGTCAATTATACCTCAATAAGGCTGTTTCTAAAAACCTAATCTTCCAAGACATATTGTTGATTGTTTAAGTCCTACATTTATCCTCGGTATGGCCAAACATCTCTATCACCTTTTTGGTTTAAGTAGGTACTAAATACCCACCTCAAAAAATAAAGCTTTCCTAAGCTTTCCACTTCCCAAGAAGCTTTCTACTTGCTTTCTCAAGAAGCCTTATTTTGAATACCTCAGTAACAGTATTTTAACAAATGCTTCACTGGGGGAACTCAGTACACAGCTGTCATGTTTATCAGCTGTACCAATATCACACCTCACCATGAACCCTGATTTAAAGAAGCAAAACTTTGAATTAATTACAAAAGTTAAAAACAAGGGAGCTTCCAATTCATCAGAACCTCTCCATCAGCGCTGGCTACCGAACTTCCTGGAGAGGGAAACTGTTCTGTTCTGTGCTCTCCAACACAGCAGCCAGTAGGACTGCTGGGCACTGGAACCATGGCTAGTGTGACAGAGCTGCATTTGTGCATTTTCATTTAATTTTAATAAATTTAAATAGTTACATATAACTAGTGGCTACATTATTGGACAGCAGAGCTCTAGATAATTTAAAAAATCTAGATTAAAATTTTTAAGAATGGTTTGAATTTTCAAAGTAATTTTTAAAACTATAGTTTACATATTATATAATATTAATTTTTAACTTAATAAACACCATAAAATCATAAACAATGAAAAACTCTGACTTTTTAAGACTTAGCGGGAAGGACTGTTTCACCTGAGATGTCTTCCTGGTCGTCTCAATCCCCTCCCCACCACAGGCAGGGCGCAGGTGCCCGCCGCGGGCCGAGCCTCACCGGACCCTCTGT